GAAAACTAATAGACCCACAATAAATTCAGGTGTCGCGTCAGGAGGGAAGAAAGAAGGGTTTCTACGCCAAGGGAGCGCATTTGGTAAGTTTGTAGCTTAGACATGTTTATTATTTTGTCGTTTCTCTGTTGCTTTTCTTTATATTTGAATGACTTAAATTAGCCCTTACAGTCTAGGGTCGTCTAGAGGTCATTCTGATACCGGTTTATACGCACTCCAAAGTCCTGCAATCTTCTTCACCTTCTATTTTTTCAAAGGATTATCAAGTATTACAATATCAAACATGAATGCAGCTAGCACCGGAAAGCAATACTCTCAGTCAGGATGGGGCTCCAGGCAGTGGTTTACGTGAAGAAAAGTGAGCAAAGTAAAAAAAAAGAGGAATCTGGGGCAAAGGCCTTCTCACGAGGCTCCTTTCTTTTTTCCTACGTTCGCTTCCTTCATGTAAGGTTTCTTCACAATAACAAGAAAACTGATTTACACACAGCAGTATCCACATGTAAGCAATGAAAAGAGTTGAGATGTGTATATTTTGTGGAAAATTGTTGAGGTATAAAAGTATCATGTAAAGTGTAGAAGTTCAAATCATAGGGCTAAAAATATATGTTGCAGTGACAGTGTTTCGTTGACTTTTCTTGGGGTGAAGCAGTGATTTTTTTGCAGTGTTACAGTGTTCAGAACCCCCCATGTCCCCCTCTCCTAATTTTGCTAGTAATGTTACATTGAAACACAGCAAGAAAGAGGAACATATCAGGGGTGTAAGGAAGTCACTCCTACACTGAAATCAACAACTCAGATGAATGTAACAGAGTAAGTGGGGACACAAGCATGTTATGACTGAATCTGAGCAATTATTAACCTGAAAACATTACAAAAGATTTACTGTAAGTTTTACCTCAAAATGAGTAGCAGCTGGCATGCTCAGTAACTCCAACCTTGAATCTCTCATTGTTGGATCAAACTGGAAAATACTTGTCTGAACTGAAGATAGCAACTCATTTTGGGAAGCTTGAAATGTTGATCCTCTATTACTTGATGTGCCATGAACATGAACTCTTTTCCCAGGATTTGGATTACCATAAACAGGACTGAGTCTGTCTCCATCTTGAAAAAAAAGTGAAATACTTTTATTACCAAATCAGTGCTTGTATGATTGCATGAAAAATCCTCCAAGTTAACTTTTTTTCCTCAGTGGCCATTTGGTCACTGAATGTTTATTTTTGGCTGCCGGTGAAAATTTTGGTTGCCAAAGCATAAACATAGGCACGCAAGGTGTGCAAGAGTTATTTTTTTGTGAACTAAAAGTCTCGGAGATAGGAGCAGTCATGGAACTGTTTACAGTAATGATTTGGTTAATTTCTCACTCACCGATCACATAGCCCTTCCAACACCCAAGAGGAATTTGTGCTCAAAAATACTCAAGACAACTTTTCGCATTTTATACAAGTCATAAGTTTACCCTTTTTACACAACACAACGCAACAACACTACTTCACCGAACATAGGCAAGCACTGAAAGTCTCAGAGATAGGAGTATTCATGGAACTGTTTACAGTAATGATTTGGTTAATTTCACAAGTTTTTTTGGTTGCGTTGTGCAGCAAGAAAGAAACTGGGAATTTATGATGTACATACAATGTTACCTCGGTATTGGTAAGATAACTTAATAGTAAAGCATAAAATGCTTGACTGAACAAACCACAGTAATCTGACATGTCCCCTGATTAATGTAGATACCATCTTATTTTCTAGCAGGCAATTGGATTGGTTCTTTGATACAACCCACACTGTGATTGGTGTGACACATGCACATGCATAACTCCCTCACTCACCAACCACATAGCCCTTCCAACTCCCAAAAGGAATTTTTTACTCAAGTTAGGGGAACTTTTTGCATTTTATATGAGTTGTAAGTTTACCCTTTTTACACAACACAATGCAACAACACTACTTCACCAAAAATACAAAGAAAGAGAAAAAAACCTCTCTGACCCGTTGAAAGTCTGATTTAATTAAATTGCACTTTAACTTGGTGCCATGCAGTCTCCAAAGAACATTTGAACAGTTTTCATAGTTTTTACCTTTAAAAATACGGGACTGAAACGAATGTCATAAAATGCCCATCAAATACAAATATTAAACTGCTACTGCAGAGACGAAAGAACCGTCCAGAAACGAAAGCCTCTTTTTTTTTAATATCCTGGGAACAATAGCCGATAACTTGTTAGCTTTAATTGAATTTACTCCCATATAAAAAACAAAAGTGTTAAGTTACCACTTGTAACTAAAGATAGCAAACATCTCGTGGGAACAAGTGGTGACGATTCGTCAGCCCTAATTGAATTTACTCCCTTGTGAAAATTAAGAGTGTCAAATTACACTTTGTAACTAAAAAATAAAAATATCGTTATATTTGCTTGCAACAAGAACAAAACAATCATTACCTGCACTTACTATTGTAAACGCTAGAACTGTTTCAAATCTAAATAGTCTCGTCTCCTCTAAAACATGTCCTAAGAACTAGAAGCGACAATTTGTGACCTCTAATTGAATTTACTCCTTGTGAAAAACAAAAATATCAAGTTACCTTTGTAACTTGATTAAAAATATCTTGTTCCCTTTGCATACTACTAACTCATGAACTGGCTCATCTCGTTCATAACTATCCACCACAATACTGAACATTGTGCACTCTAAAACAACCCAATGTATGTATGTAACTGTCACACTCCGCTCCAACCTGGAATAAAAATCCAAAAACCGGCAACATACACCTCAGTCTTTATTTTTCAATTACCAAAGTCCTCATGTTTAACACAATAAAACGCTCAAGACTTCATATACCTCACTTAAGTTATCTTGAACAAAAACAATGTCCTTTTTCTTCAACTACAATTTGTGTTGGTTATTAATGTGAATAAGCAAAAACCCTGATAACATTGAAGAGAAAAGATTTAGTTTCATTAAGAGGTATCTTCTCATTCCAGTAGTAAACAAGAACCATTATAACTGTAATATCGTCACAGAATAATATCTTTTGTTCTGTTGACGAAATGAATCGTAGTCTCTTCACTTTTGACATTGAAACTTATCGATGGATGCTGAAATTAACGACACACCCAGAACACTCATTACGAACTCTGCAGCTATATCTAGGTTTCAATCTGATACAACATGCAAATGATTTGAACCTGGTCACACAAAGCCTTTTCACATTCCCAGTAGTGCATTCTGCCCCCCTAAAATACAATTGATCCTATCATAGAAACCACATCAACTTGTTTTTCATGCACATCTTTAACCTAGTAGTAGAGCAGACTCAATTCAAAAACTTATCTCATGAATGGGAAAAGCTCACCCTTCATCGCATGCACGTCATTATATGCCAAACATTATGTTTCTTTGACTGAATATCCAGTTACAACTGATCATCAAACCCGCCCACAAAATCCTCAGCCTAACCCACAGAAAATGTCGAAGTAAGCCAAATATGAATACTTCCTCCTCTTTTATAGAAGAATAAATATGACCATTCTGAACTGTATCGGGATCAAATCTTCTCACATACCATTTACCTTCACAACAAGAAATTTGATTGGCTGCTTATAGTAGATCCAATCTGACTGGTGTGACATACATACATCTCTCACTCACTCACTTACTCACTCACTCACTCACTCACTCATTCACTCATCCATTAACCCGTCCATCACATACCCCAACGTGCCAACTAAGAGGTATTTTATTTTTGCAAAAAAATAACTCAAAAATTAATTTGAAAATTAAATGAGACTTACCTGTATGTTGAAGTCTGATTGGAATTCTATCTGTCACCAAGCACTAAGGAATTACATGAGATAGCATTGCGCCTGCAAGAACTCGGTTTCTAAAGCACTTACCATGTATGCAGTGGAGAAACTCCCAGTCAAAATAAGGGTGAGTGCTTGAGAAGGGAGGGCATGTAATCCCTCAATGCTTAGTGAATGAGCGAATTCCAATCAAACTTCAACTAACAGGTAAGTCTCATTCGATTCTCAGATTCTATTCCGTCACCGCATTGAGGGCTTACATGAGACTTCAAAGCACACTGCACACATGTAACAAATTCAACACAGAATCCATATTCTGTAAAACAACACTTTGTCTGCAGAGTATCTATGACACAATTGTGTAAATTTGAAGATGGTTTTCCTACGCTTAATTTGATCTTATAGTTCTGGAGTGTACCTTAATAGATAGTGACAACTGAAGTCATATTTAAACTGGACAGCTTACAGTCAATATGCATGTCACTTATTTTCCTTACGTCCCGTGCAATTGCAAATTCTGAAAAACTGTAGTACACGTGAAGAAAACTACATTCTCTGGCACAGCATATCATCTTGAAAACAACTTGTCTTTTTCAAAAAAGTTAGGGAGGCAACACAAATTAAAGAACATTACTGAGAATAAAATCATCAAAAGCCCCAGAAAAGAAATTAACATTTTACCTCTACTAATTTTAAAAAAAACTACATTATCTATCTCTAGCAGATGAATTTGGCAATTATCGGCTTTGAAATTCTCAATATTTTGGCACTTTTAAATGCATTTCTTGGCTTCGTCCTAAATTTAATTAAATTTGAACTAACGCGTTATCTGATAGGCATCTCGTCGGGACTTCATTTCTAAATTAAATATTTTGTGTTTACCCCCGTGCTTCTATCACCCTAAGCCATTTTTAAAGCCATGTGTGTTTTTAGATTTAGAAAGTTACTACCTCTCTTCAGAAAATACAAAGGAGTATTTTTATTTACATTAAAATTAGGGAAAGTGTATATTAAGTAATTCTGCAGTTTTGTGGAGGGTATCAGCCAGTTTCACACTGCTGACTGTCGTGATTGCTGCCGGCAGTCGTGACTATAATTATGTAAATAAATCTACTTGTCTCATTAATTCTGAAAAAAATAACACTGTCAATCCTATTTATTGTAGTGCCATTTGTAAAGAACGACAACTCACCTTTTACCAGGTACTTTTTAACGTTTTGGACAAATATTCTGTGTTGTGTTGAAATGTAAAATGATGTGCCCAGGTGTAGAACATATTATGGCCGTTTTCAAGTTTGATTTGGGATCAATTTATCACGGCTGATAAGCTATTTAAATATAATTCATAAATTAGTCTTTAAACACAGGAACCAAAACAACTTTTGTATTGCCATCTTGCAGTCAGGGTATTGAAGGCGTTATGTGAGGTCTTTCCATTTCGTAAACAAAATGAAACATGTAAAGGGAGAGTTTTATCAACACTTACTTGCTCGTCACTTTGGTAAATATCTTCTGATTCTTCCATGATCTTCTTCTTTTTAACAAAATTAAAATCAAGTAAAGTTCTATTTCCTGCATTCCGTTTTGCTCCACCGCTTCCCGTCACCATGACTTCCTTTCCACCACGTGGGCGCCGACGCACACATCTTATTAAATCAGTTTCAAATCGTGTCACACACTTTTTTTAATTCCCTTCGATCCAATTTGGGTTCAAACAAATTATTACCTGAACAATTTTACCTCCATTTTATTTCTCCAATATCACCATCAGAACTGACCCACTAACATTCAGAGTACCCGGTGCAGTATTCAGAATAGCCAGTGAAATGCGCCAGTTGCCGGCTTATTTGACAACCCTGAAATGAAGAAGACTGAAGAAGATGACAGTCATTGTTCCTGTCACCATATTGCCTCTCTGGAAGCTAATCCTAGCAACGGGGCTATGTGTCACTTTGCCCTCAAGACAAAGGTAAAGGAGATATTTCAGCCTATTGAAGTGATAAAAATGTTCAAGACGGACTTTCACGAAGGAAACAAAGATGGCCAAGCCCTTTCCCACAACGATAGGAAGTTCATGAAGAAAGCCAAGGAAGGGATTCATCACAGCGACGATGGACACTACGAGTTGCCACTTCCACTAAGAGATGAAAGAATGCTTCCTAACAATAAAGAGCTAGCCCTTAGTAGAATCAAGAAACTGAGGGGAAGACTAAAGCATGAGTCAACATATCGGAAAGAGTACTAAAGATTCATGAGTGAGATCATTGAGACGTGTTATGCAGAACGCATTCCACCAGAAGAACTGTCTCTTGATAATGGTCGCATATGGTACATTCCCCATCACGGTGTTTATCACCCAAAAAAGCCAGGAAAAATAAGAGTTGTTTTTGATGCAAGTGCTGAATGCAAAGGAGAGTCCCTGAACAGACAACTATTGCAAGGACCGGACCTTACAAAGTCTGACAGGAGTGTTATGCCAATTTTGAAAGGAGCCTATGGAATTTATCTGCGTCATGGAAGGTATGTTCCACCAAGTGAACGTAACCTGAGCATAGAAACCTTCTGAGATTCTTATGGTGGGAACAAGGCAATATCGAAAGGTCATTGGTCGAATATCGCATGACTGTGCATCTGTTTGGGGTGGTGTCCTTCCCTGGATGTGCCAACTTTGCTCTAAAGACGACAGCAGATGATTTTGAAGAATGTGGTAATGATGCTGCAGAATTTGTACGTCATGACTGTAACTGTAAAGATTCTAGAGGTTACCTTTAATCAAATCTTAAACAACTACAGGGGTAGCGCGGTGCGAGATATTCGAACTCCACTTGGTAGATTCAACTGATTTAATGACAGATCAAGTCCATAGATCTAGTTCACAATAGGTAGCTACTGAAGAAATAGCGAAAACCAGTAGACCGCAAGTAGTGGTAGTAGATACGAATAGGAGTTGTAGTCGTACAAGTAGATGTAGTAGGTTCGAACTGAAAAGCGATAGTTAAGAATACGTCCTACTTAGATAAGGCATAAAATACCAATCTAACAGGATAGAAAAATCATAATAAAACTAACAAGATCACAGCATGAAACAAATAGGTGTGACAATTGATACTTGAAACTAATAAAACTGAGACGATAACAACTCTTGTCGTAACAAACGAAGATATCAACGGCTATCGTACAAATAGCTAAATATAGTGTGAAAGAATCACAATTTGGTAATCATATGACAATTGGACTAATAAAGCAACTTGACAATAAGCCTTAGCAATAGTAGAGCTGTGAAAGCGATTTCAAC